TCCCAGCTGATCGGGAGGAAATGGGGATTTTGCAGTAACCTTTCCCTGGAGTAGGGTAGGAATGTAGATTTTATAGTATCCTTCCCATGCCAGCCCACCAAGCCATGCCTCGCCCACCAAGTCACACCCACAGAACCAGAAGTAAAAATTTTTGAAACCCACCACTGATTGGTATGTACAAATTGTATGGCAAGATAGTGTACAGGTAGTCTTCGATTTACAATTGTTTGTTTACTAACCGTTCAAAGTTATAACGGAACTGAAAAATGTGACTTATGACCATTTTTACTAGTTACGACCTTTCCAGCATCCCCACGATCATATGATCAAAATTCAGATGTTTGGCAACTGGTTCATAGTTATGACCATTGCTGTGTTCCGGGGTCATATGATCCCCTTTTGTGACCTTCTGACAAGCAAAGTCAATGGGGAAGCCAGATTCACTTAACAACCAGGTTACTAACTCATCAACTGGAGTGATTCACTTAACAACAGTGGGAAGAAAAGTTGTAAAATGAGGCAAAACTCACCTAACAAATGTCTCACTTAACAACAGAAATTTTGGGCTCAACTGTACTTGTAAATTGAGGACTATCTGTACTATAATTAAGTGAATATCTAGGTAGATCAGAAACTGTCCTGAATGAATTAGTGATTTGTCAGCAAACTGGCATGAAATAGGGTGCCAAAAATACTAATCCTGGAGTTGATATTTTTCAACAGTTTTATAAATTATTTTGGATGGCAAGATAAAGGAAACTATTACATTTGCAGATGAAACAAATTGGATAGGACAGAAGAGAATAGGATAAATGAAAAAAAAGAATTTAATTGGAATAGAAATTTCCTATTCCTAATTCTTTTTTTCCAACGTTCTTTCTATTTCACATAGAAGGTATTTATATTAGCAGAGGTTGATTCCTTCCTTCAAAAAAATATTGAAGGTAGGCTTAGTTCAGAACATCTCTGTTCACACCTGGACAAATTCATTAAGACAGTTTTGCCACCTTGCTGTGCTCTCCCTGTACCTCACTTGACACTTTGAATTAATATTCCCCCCTTCCCAGCAAATTGCTTAATGTACAATGCCTTTCCTCCAAGAACCGCCACCCCCTACTTCCCTGAATTCTCACTCTTTGTATAACAGTTTGATGGTTCCTGTTGCTCCATTTATTTTCCAAGGTCCACCTCATCTTGCATCCATTCCTCAATCCTGATGTATCAATAGCTGTCTCTCAAACTTTGTACTGTTTTTTTCCCTGCCAATTAAAAAATAAAAACAAAAACAATGGGATAATCTATATAATGATGGCCATGCAGTATAATAGGCATGGTGAAAAGAGGATTTGGTGCTTCCTTCTCTCTCCTTTGGGAGACAAATAACTTACAGAAAGAAACAAAATAAAACATAAAAGAAAAAGAAAAGTTTAGTGCAAGTTCCTGGCTATATGTAAAGTGCCATGCAGCTGACCAAGATAAGTGAAGGAAGAGATACAGAAAACATGGTATATTTAATACTAAAGGATAGATGAGAATTCTGGAAACAATAAGAGGAATTTCCCAGCCTTAGAGATATTTTATTAAGTAGAATCATTGGAAAAACTTTATTTCCAGTGTTTCTTGCCTTAGTCTTAGTCTAGTATGATCCTTATGAGAAGCTGCCAACAGATGTGCCTTGTCTTTATCTTGGTTGTTTATGTCTACATTGCCATTCTTTCATCAGCCTCCCCATAACCTCTCATACATATTTAACGATTTCTACAGATAACATTGATTATATGAATTCATTTCAATGAATTCATTTCAATTCATATCAGATTTGGCAAGAGACAAAATGTGATTTTTTTTATTGCTCTGCATGTACATCAAGCTGTAGGTCACTGTTTTTCAAACTTGGCAATTTGAAGATGTGTATTCTTCAATTCCTAGAATTTCACTTATCTTAAAGATGCTAAGTTTGAACTCCAACTGTTTTAGATAGAAGGAATGTGTTCCAAATTTCTCAATAAAATTCAGCACCTTTAGCTGTGATATCCCCTTGGATTACCAATTCAAGAACAGTTGGATAGAACTTTATTTTGACTACGAGGAGGTTTCTAAAAAAACTCATTTAACTCCCTCTTGTTTAGGCTGTTAAGATTGTGAAAGATATAAAGCTGAGAAGGAAGAGTCAAGAAATGAACCCATTTTGAAATCACTTCAGCATTAGATTTTCTGTGAAGTGACACTTAGGCTGTGTCAAGTTAACTATGTATTACTCAATTAACCCAATTTTCATCTCCCACGTAGAACTTCTTGATGCATGGACTACTCATTTGCTGAAGTCATGCAGCTAAATGTGATAGGTGAATTTGCATGTTGTGCAGACAGGAAACTGAGTTAATTTGGTAGACCAAAGGAAAACTGGGTAGCAGCCAGATATTTGAATGCCCAGAGAAAAGTAATCAGGCCTCCTCATGAGCTTTACCTAGCTCTGAACATTTTCAATTTTCTACAAGAAATGCAGTTGGAAAGATGCATGACTTGTGGCATAATGATACTGCTTATTAAAAGTACAAAAGTAGCTGGCCTGTTTGCATTTCTTGAATCCCCTTTTCTTCACACCGACACAGGGAGGAAGATTATGGGCTGCTATTTCAAATTCCTGGTAATTTCTGGTTTGCAGTTTCCTGAAATGTAGATTTGCAGTTCAAAAATGGGGGTGGTGAGATGAATGAAGTTTATTCCCATACAGATGAATCACAGTTATCCAAGACGCAGATTGTGTCTCCACATTCCTTTGAGCATAAATGCCAATGCCACAGTAACATGAAAGAAAAGCAATTAGCTCATAACAGAAAAGCTTCATTTACCTGTCATGACATTTTTTTGTTTTTAATTTGATTTATATGCCGCCCTTCTCCGGAGACTCAGGGCAGCTTACAATGTGCTCAGCAATTTCAGGGGTATACTAAAGACATTAAAGCAGAATGCTAAAAATGAAAAAAATATATAAAGGTACATGAGAAAATAAATTAATCTTTTCAGACTCAGAAAACAGGTTTCTGGAATTCTAACTACAAGTAAAAGCATGTTTCTTTCTTCTTTTTTTTTAATGAACATATTTGAAATACAAATAGAATCCAAAAATTAAATACCCTTAAAATTTTCGGCATACAGTAATGAATATTTAAGGTTCCTAAATACTTTCCTTCAATACATTCATAGAACAGTAAGTACAACATAGCTGAATATTTATCTGTCTAAATATGATTTTTTTTCATTTAGTGGTAAAGAATTATGGTGAAGCAATTTAATTACCACCTGGGCATCTACTATTCACTTATTAATTTATGTCATTTTTACCATACCTCTAAATTATCAACAAGGGAGATTTGAAATTATAGCATTTCACAGAATAAAGTAGCATGAAAGAAACTGTGCCCAAACCAATTTCTCTCCAAGGAGTCATCATTAAATTTTACTTCTTTGCCTGTCTGGGTGATGCGTGCTTTCTAATTTGGCATTTAAGAAACTGAAGCAATAAATTTTCATATTATTTTTAATTTGTTTTTGTAAAAGCAGACATTCTAAGTTCTTCAGTGAGAAGAACTTTGAAGTATTAATATATTTCCTAATGCACATGAAATGCAAAATCTCAAATATTTATTTATTACTTTCCTGAATTTGTAAAATTTTAAACTGCCCAGCACAGCATGAATAACAGGAATATAACTTAATCCAATCTTTACAAAGTCTGGACTAAAATAATACTTGCCTTCTTTTGCATGTGGGTCAAATTCTTATTATAGCTGTTAAAGCCAATTATGATTCTATTTGTGTTATAATATTATTTGTTTATTATAATATTTGTATACTTTGACTCAAAAAAATGGACAATAGTTTTAGATATATTCACTAAATGCAACCACATAAATCAATTTTAAAATATTCATTATCAATCCTGCCAGATTTTATGGCTCAATAATTATCTTATAAATAAAATAGGCCCCAAAAACATTTGTTTTGTGTATTCCATGGTATTCTCTGTTTGGTTGTCTGCTTCAGATGTTTCATTACCATACAAGGTAATATCATCAGTGGTGGTGAGTATGGGGTTTGTTCCAGTGGTGAGATTCAAATAATTTAACAACCAATTCTCTGCCCTAATGACCAGCTGGGTAGGTGTGGCTTGGTGGTCATGTGACCGTGTGGGCATGGCCAACTCAACATCACTCATGTCGATCGGTGCTTCGCCTTAGCTGTTACAATGTAATAAGAGTTAACCAGAGAGGCAGTTTCTGTAAGCAGGGCAATAAAGATTAGGCTAGAAACAATGCCATAGTGTTTGCTTCCTTACAGGATTAGCTCTGTAAAGTGGAAAAAAACAAAATAAGATTTCTTCCAACAACCGGTTCTCCGAACTGCTTAGAAAATTAACAACTGGTTCTTCCGAATAGGTGTGAACTGGCTGAATCCCACCACTGGTTTGTTCCCTGTCTACATAGAGTAGCTGCCCCTGCCAGTTGAGGATGCGGTTTTGTCCTTTGTAATTTCTTAGGTAGGGTATTGTTTCATGCTTCAGTGCTAGTCTGATGTTATCCATGCTTATCTGTGATATTTACTGGAGAAGATGTGTCTGGGTCTTTTTGTCTTGTTCTTAGCTTTTGTATTGTTTCTTTTGAATGATGTGCAAATATGGTTTATCTCTGTCTTTCTACGAGTTTTGTTTTAACTGTCTTCCTGAACACCATTTGGGAGGGTGCCATCTAAATCTCTGATGATAGGCGATTCCAGAGGATGGAGCCTAAACTGAAGAATACTGTCTCCTGTCCCCTTTTTACTGAGCCTAATGTAAGAACAGGACTCTCATCACTATAACTTGGGACTTGTTTGATTATTGCTGGTCTCATCAACCAACAGACAAGTTGTTATATATAACTATAATTATATAGTTATAGCTTTTTGGTATAGTAAGCAGTCCTAGAGGTGATACTGGCATAGATAACTATCATGAGCCCCCCCCCCTACAAGTCAGGCCACAAGTGTCAGACTAGACAAAACTAAGCAAAGAGCTCCTGAGCCATAACCACCACTAATGTACCCACAAATTTGGCACTGGTGTCCAAAAATATAGCATGGTCAAAAACACAACTGCTTCAACAATGTCCTAAATTCATTGTAAGGACCAAAGCATTTTCATTCTCCTGTCTTGAATCATGACCAGGCCTGAACACTGACTATATATAAGTAGTTTTTGTTTAGGGACTATAATAGGACTGGCAATCCTTTTGCAAAGTGAAACATCATGTGTCCATGACAGACTTACAATATAACTTCCCATATCTTTATGACTCTATAATACCATAAATCTACAGAAATAGGATAGATTTCCAGTGCATTGTTCAAGACAAAATTAGTGTGTTTTGACTAACATAATGCATTACAAATATAGCCTGGTAGGGCAGAATATAATATTTCTATGACATATCCCCTTTACTTTACTTTACTAATAAATAATAATGGCATATCATTTAAAAATGGGTGGAAATTGTTAGGATATGGTGTAAATCTAACAAGTTGTCCAGGCAATATATGTGTTCTATAACTTTAAATGTATTCTGTAACTTTAAATGTAATGCTGAGTAATTGTAATGTTGAGTCATTGTAATGACTAATGACTGTTGACTGAATGCTGACTGCAATTATCATAATTGTATTGTTGAGTCATTGCACTGCTGACTTCACTTATCATAAGTGGATAATTACTAGTGTAAACTGTATATAAGAAGGAAGCCAAGCTATAGTCATTGTTGGACCTGCTCTCATCATTGCTTGACTTGTTGATTGGAACTGTTACTGTCGTGTGTGAAGATGTGGATGGATATGCTACTATTGTGATTTGTTACCAGCATTGAATTGCTGTTTATTACCAACTGCTGTTTGTCTGGTAAGAAGATATCTGTAACTTAGGACTGATTTGAATGGCTAAAGACTTGGATTGACTAAAGGACTATGCAACTGTTTTTCAGTACAAAGTAAAAGTTTTGTTAAACCAGTTTGTATGTATTGTATTCGTTGCTCTCAGTACCGTTTCTCTGTGCACTTACTCTGCTGGTTGGTAACACAACAATATCCTTAACAGAAATACTATGCTGAAATAATATACTGTATCTCTATATTATCTGCACATTTATCTACCTACTAGCATATTGAGTGTGTGTGTGTGTGTGTATGTGTGTATGTGTATACGTACATACAGAGATGCAGAGCCAACCAATAGCAGTTTATGTAATGGATGCATAAGTCTACAAAAAGTTGCAGTTGTTTAATAAGTTGAAGAGAGGTCTTCATGCACATTCTTTAGCTTTATGAACAGTCCTATTACATTTTAAATATAGGGTATAATTTGGCCTTCAGAGTACTGCAAACACTTTCTGAAATGCTTTGACTAATTTTTAGGTTTGTTTTTTTCTAAACCTCAGAACAGAAATAAGATGCCAATAACGTGGTCTTGTAATCTGAGAAATAATACAATAAAGTCTCAATAATATAATCTTGTCATTTGACGAATTTACAACTAGATGGGTGAGGTGGATGTTGTAATAATCTGATAGTGAAATTAGAAATTATATTACATTGTTTGACAATGTATAGGTGTCTCTTCTGAAACAAACAGCCAGGGTCAGAATGAGGAAACCCGAATCTCATGAATATGAGCCATGAAAAGGGGTCCCATCAACTGCCTAAGACCAAAAATAATCGTTGCTCATAGAAAAATAAATATATGTTTCTCTGTGTATATATGTGTGTGCATATTAGTAGGGATACACTGTAAAAATACATTATGGCACAGATAAGAGACATGCATTTTCTTGCTCTGTGAATTTATATATACTGTAATTGACCTTACCTACCATGTTTAATAATTTATTGTTTTGTTTTTTTCAGGAAGCACAGGAACATGATTTAATCTTCCTGTCTGATGTTTGCATTTTTATTCAACATTTCATTAAAGGCATGAAAAAATAATTTAATGATCTCTCTCAACAATTCAAGTCAAACCTATCATATTACAGTCTAAATTGAAAAGGCAAAGATAATAGAAAATTTCAAAGAGAAGGCTATCTTATCTCAAGCAATATAGGTGAGAAGCAGAAAAGGTAGAAAAATCAAGTGTTAATTCACACTTTACTACTTAGAATTATCTTAATGGATTTTCAAAATGATATAAACATTTCAATCCTAATAACCATAAACATTTCTTTGTAAAAAAACAAAATATGAATCTTGATATTTGCATTCCTATTTTCAATGAATGTGCCCAGTATTTCTATTTAGTTTATATTTACATTAGAAAGTACAGAAATGGAGACAGACATACTCTGAATTTGCTTTCTATTGAAGACTTCATACTTGGAAACTTGTCTTCTTAGCACTGGATTATAAGAGGTTTCTCTCTTTTCTAGTCAACTGTGACAGCTGAAAAACTAATCTGTTCTCCTTTGAAATGCATTTTAAATATTTCTTTTATGATGGCTGAGACAGCTAAAACAGTAATCAGTTCACAGCTGTACTGCATAATTTCTGCTTAATATAACTAAAAAAGCTTAACAATCTATTAGGTTTTAGGAAATGTCTGTACAGGTTTAAACACATAAATACATAGGAACATTTACAAATACATAGGAAATACATGCTCAGACACTTCTGTATACATACACACACACAAACACATGAATACATATGTCTATATAGTGTCACATGTCTTTTGTTACTCTCTATTTTTGCCAAGTTGTCTGTTTGAAAACAAACAATAGAGTTCATGTGTATTTAGAAGCAATGCCTGGCTCCTAAGATAATTAGGTGTACTGTACGATTATTTCAGCCTTCATTTTTTCATTATCTTTATTACATTGTATGTTCTCCATTGTAAATAACGCAGATATCAGGATAATCACAAATTACATGTTCATTACCATTATCACATGGTTCATTATCAAGTTATTTTTGAAGGATTGTTGGCTGCAAGTATGCATAATGTAATACTTTAATTTTAACGCTATGGATTCTTATCCTCCCTAATTTCTTTCAGATTCCATTTTTCCATCATTTATTTTTTCATATAAATGAGTGTCAAAGTCAGTTGTGTCATAAAGCAAGCTGGCTTACATATGTATGATACAATTATTTTGGTGTGGATATTATTCTTTTTTCATGAAGAGCTAAACATCATGTGTGATTAATAATAGGATTGAAATGGATGGGTATCTGTGGTATCCCAAAGAATCTAAATAAATAAAAATGTATTAATTTATAAATAAATTAATAAATTAATAAATTAATTCACATTGTACACTGAAGCACCATTATTAATGCTTTCTGATAGACACCAGGTCCATTTTTCAAAAAGTTCCAAGATTTGCCAATTTTGACCTTATTCTTTGACACTTTGTGGATTTGATGGTCTGCCAGTTATAATTTCTAAAGAAATGCATGGAATTCTTTCAGAAGGGTACAAGGCTACTTATCTACCTAAAAATATGAGAGAGAAAATATGATAGCAATTTCCAATTTCCAAAGGAAGTAGGTAGAATATCCTTTGCACAAAAGTCTGATATAAATCTGTTAAAATGATCTTTTCCCAAATTATTATTAAACTTATTATAGATCATACTGCAGTGCTAAGCATGTATGTTCCCATTTACCAAGTCAGTTTTTATTTTCTGGATCTTGGTAATAAATTTCCTAATTAATCTTGGGCCCAAACTTTTAAATCTTTTATAGCATATGTTCACTAGAAAGTTGTTAGTTCTGTTTTCAACTTTCCAATGCTAAATTGCTAGAAATTTAAAAATACCTTTGCAAATAAGCTGAATATATATAGATCATAATACATTATTCAATATTTAACAGTCAAGACTCCTGGCATATATATACTTTCATTTGTGTAGCCAATAGATAGTAATCAAATGAATGAGTTTACTAAAACCGTATGCAACTGTAGTTCATATTGAAGTGCAGTCAGAATTTACACTTTATAGAACCAAGCTACGGAAAGCTTGTATTTTAGAATATTTAGAATATTTATATTCCACCATTATAACTTCAAAATCTAATACAGTAGAAAAAAGGACAGAGAACAGTAACCAGGAGTTTCTTTAAGACGTGTGTTCCCCAACCAGGGTACCTTAACTGAAAGGGCATTTTTTCTAGTCACTGTTTACTCTTATTAGATGGAAACAATGTTTTATAGTTTTCGGCATATGTGTGCTGCTATCTAGTGGTCATGTGTATTTTTGCAGCTACATATCACAGAAAAAGGAAGTCTCTGAATGTAACATAGAATTGTCATATTCATTTCATTAACACAACACTGAGAAATTTGGTTTAGGAATCTGGGTTTGTACAGAAGGCACATATGATTTTGCACTTTTCAGCATGAAAAGTTTCTTCCTCTTTTTTATATAATCTTTGAAATATTGGAAAGTGTAAGTATGATTAGAATGCATTTTCCAATGAAATAAACTATATTAGAGAATGCATAAACATTCCTAAAATTAATAAGTGGAACTTTTACTTCATACTTCATAATATTCTTCCTTCATTATTATGGATATCATGCCTGCATTTTTCAAGTATAAGTAGCCAATATATTTTCTTGCCAGTTTCCATTTGCCTTAACTCTTTTCATCTGATATACAAAACATTATATTATACAGAGCTGGCACCTAGATCATGTTACTTGAGGCTCTCATGCTCCCACTGATCTTCTGTGGCCCCCACAGCTCCTCCAAGATAGCATAATGCAGGGTTCTCTAAGTTCCGGTCCGTGGCATGCCAGAAACTGGGCTGTGCAAACAGGTGAAGCCCAATCCATGGGATGCAGGCAGCACGTGAAACCACGCCCCTCCAGTCCACGGAGAAACCTGTCCACAGGACCTGTCCTTGGTATCAAAAGGCTGGAAGCCACTGGCTTAATGAAACCTGGCAGCCAGTTTCCAAAGATTAGCTGCTAGTTTTCTACTGGTTTTGGGCAGATTATGAAAGAAGACTGTTGTGTAAGTTTTGGACAGATTTCCAAGTGTGGAAAACTTTCAGCACAATTAGGAAACTGGGAGAGAAAAATATAGCAAAATCTCTGTTGACATAACTTCAGCTTTCCTTTTTCTCTGAAGCAAAATTAAAAAAGTAGAAAAAAGTCCCATGCTGCTGAAAAGGGACTTTTCTCTAATATAAATCACAAGTGTACAAACATTTAAGGAAAACCTATTGAAGTATAATTGCAAAGTAAAAAAGATCTGCCTCTATTTTTTTACTTCTCTCTTCCTCAGATGGAAAATATCCTTTTCAGGGGTGAGGTTTAGGACAGGAAATTCTATGGCTTTGATCAGTTCCATCATGAATGATTCATCGGGGTGAGAAACAGCAGGTTTATGGCATCAGAAAGGCATGTATGCTATTTTAGAAACGTGGAAGGCCTTCCCACCCTTTCTCATTGTATCAAACTTTAAAAGAACATTGTAATAGCTTTGACATGGTTTTACTTTAAGTTTGCTTTTGTCCTTGAATGAAAAACTAAGTTTTTCTACTATTGGAAATTGTCTTTATGCTTCATTTACGTATGTTTTAATGTAATTATTATAGTATATATTGTAGCATTATGAACTATTATAGTATTTTCATTATCATTTGATTCTTGTATTCATCCTTTTTCCTCTACACTGGAACATATAAAATATCTAACAAAACTGCCTTTAATCTTCGGGAGTTTATGCCATAATAAAATTATTAGTGGTAATAAGACTATCAATTTGAAAGATACTAAAGGAACTACTTCTCTTGAAATATTTATGAAATCTTAAGTCTGTTTTCCGAAGTTTCATTTTTACAAATGAAAACAATAGATATCTGAATCTTTGGGGTATAAGAGGAACAAAATGACACATTTTAAAAGTTTGCTCTTGGGTGCTTTCAATATTAAATAGTAAAAACAGGGAGGGAAAGAAAGAATTTGTGTGATTGCTATTTTGTTCTGTTTTGTGCTTCATAATATATTGTGATGTGAATGCTTGAGGGGATAATCAAGAGATTGAAATTGTTGTTACCGTTCCCTCCTTTTCCATTGAGGAAGCTATAATGTCAGAATAGATAGAAAGAAAAAATAATATCAGCAACAAGGTGGACGGACTATAAAAAGTGATGGTTTTATCTTTGGGAAACCTGAAGGACAGATCATCTTTCAGAAGTTGGTTGGTAAAAGAAAACCTGACTTGATGGCACATAATCAATTTCTCTCTGTCACATTCTAAAGTATGTTCATAAATTTCTACTACCAATGTCTGTCCTGCAAGGTCCCCCTTCTTAACGGGTGTTATTCCTCTTAATCTGGTATCAGGAAATTGCATATGGTTCTTATATGGGTGTAATAAACAGCCCAACTAAAGAATTCCTAAGACCCCCCCTCACAGAGACAGGCAAGACACCAGAATATAAACTGACAGCAAACAGCACTGCTTACTAGCAAGGATGATATTACCTAGTTAGGGTAATGAAACGTCTGCAAGAAAAGAAGCAAGCTCAGAGAGCACCAAGGACCCTGCATATGGGTGTGTGTGTATGTGCATGTCTATGTGTGTGTAGATATATATGTTAGAATTAGAACAGAGAGGTGGATAGGATAGGATAACCACTCCTTGATGTTAAGCTGGCCATATGACTGTGGAAACGTCTTCAGACAGCACTGGCTCAGTGGCCTTGAAAGCGAGATGAGCAGCACCCCCTAGAGTCAGCAACAACTAGCAGAGTAAAATCTGCAGGGATTCCTTTACCTTTTTAAAATTTATTTAGTCATACCAGGTACCCATGTCCTCCACTGTCTCATGGAGTTTCCCCAAATTCAGGTTCGTTGCACCAATGACACTCTCTAGCCATCTCATCTTCTGCTGTCCCTTTATCCTTTTCCAGCATTTTCCCCCCCAATGAACCCTCTCTTCTCATTTGGTGGCCAAAGTATTTGAATTTACATAATAATAGCTTCCTGATCTTTGAGCTAAAATGCATAGAAAGTACACATACTTGGATATGTAGGACCAGGAGTTTTGAGAGCACATTTCATTTATGGTCATGGTTCTTCTAGCCAATTAGATCTATTCAGAATGCCTAAATCTGATTTTACGCATATTTATATTTATTTCACAACCTAGAAAAAAATATCTAGCCATAACACTGCTGAATGTCACTAAGTAAGGCTCTGAACTACCAAGTTTAATTTTTTTTATAGTTGCTTCCTTGACTTGTCGTGAAGGGTGCTTTTTTCAGGACACAACTGGACTTTATGGTTTTTCTTTGGGAATGTTTCGCTTCTCATCCAAGAAGCTTCTTCAGCTCTTCAGAGAAATGTCTTCAAACAAAAACTAGATAGTCCACTTGCCTCTTGAAAAGGCACCTTTGTGATGTCCAATTGAATATTTTTTTTAACAATTTGGAGAGACTGTACTCACTCAAGTGAATTTGCTCTTGAATTGGATGATACCTGAATCTTAAACCGAATTGCACTGGTGGGCCAGATTTGTTAGCAGATACCCTGCAGAAGCAGAAGAAGATTCTTGGATAAGAAGCGAAACGTCTTCAAAGAAAAAGCCAGAAAAAACATCTATGGCCGTTATGGCAAACTTATGGCATGCGTGTCGGAAGTGGCACACAAAGCCATCTCTCCGGGCATGTAAGCCATTGCCCATTGCTCTTCTGGGTTCCGGCGCATGGCCAGCTGGTATTCACACATGCATGCATGCCAGAAACTGGAAGACCAAGTGTCCGGTGCGCATACCAGAAGATCATCTTACCGGTACATGCATACGTGATGAGCGGCTGCTCTTCCGGTTTCCAGCGCACACATGTGTACCAGCCAGCTGGTCTTTATGCACGTATGTGTGCCAGAAACTGGAAGACCAGGTGGCTGGTGGGCATGCGCCTGCCAGAATCTGGAAGAACATCTTCCCAGAGCAAATATATGAACTGGGCAGCTGCTCTTCCAGTTTCCGGCACATGCACGCATGCATGCAAACTCCAGTTTAGGCACTCGGTGCCGAAAAAGTTCACCAACACTGATCTATGGGATATCTGAGAGGGAGTTGCATTCATGTTCAGGATACCCTGATTATACCACTTTATAATGCCTTGGTAAGGCGACACCTGGAATATTGTATCCAGTTTTAGTCACCACAATGTAAAAAAGATGTTGAGACTCTAGAAAGAGTGCAGAGAAGAGCAACAAAGATGATTTGGGGACTCGAGGATAAAACATACAAAGAATGGTTGCAGGAACTGGGTATGTCTAGTCTAGAAAAGAAGGACTGGGATGACATGATAGCAGTGTTCTGATATCTCAGGGGCTTCCACAAAGAAGAGGGACTCAAGGTATTCTCCAAAGCAACCAGGGGTAGGACAAGAAGCAACGGATAAAAACTAATCAAGGAGAGAAGCAACTTAGAACTAAAGAGAAATTTCCAGACAGCTAGAACAATTAATCAGTGGAACAACTTGCCTCCAGAAATTGTAAATGTTCCAACACTGGAAGTTTTTAAGAAGAGATTAGATAACCATTTGTCTGAAATGGTGTAGGGTTTCCTGCCTAAGCAGAGGGTTGGACTAGAAGACCTCGAAGGTCCCTTCCAACTCTGTTATTCTATTCTATTCTATTCTATTCTATTCTATTCTATTCTATTCTATTCTATTCTATTCTATTCTATTCTATTCTATTCTATTCATGCAAATAAAAGAGGCCGGAATTGCCTAAGTTTAAAAAAAAGTTAAGTTTGGTGAGATAAGATTTCTATTTTTCACTGAGAATTGGGCCCAAAACTACACAAAGGATGTTAGATGACACAAAAGACATTTGGGTGAACTCAAGTACATAATATTTTCAATTTGATAAAAAAGATATGAAGATATGTTTTTCTTTTCACCAAGATTCCATGAATATATACTGTAGCTCCTTTGACATTTTCCATTACTTCTCTATGACAATTAGTCAGTAATACAGTAAAAATGTACAGCTCCTCATGCTGCCAATATTGCAGAAATAGCCATAAACATGCAAGAAAATTCCATACTGAGATTGGTATGGAGCAGATGGTGAATGAATTGTTCCATCACAGTGCAGCCGTTTCAGGTTTCCAGAGCAGACAATGTGAAATCTGACCCTCACAGTCCAGGTTTTATTATTAATTTGTGTTGATACATACAATATATGCTATTTTTATAGTTTATTAAATTTCCCTCTCCTTTTAGTCTACATTTCATAGTGGACTTTGTCAGATTCCACCTCCATTTTATCTTCATAGTTATTCTTGATGTAGGCTGGGCTTGAGATGTCCCAGCTGAAGAGGCCAGAAATTTAAGCTTTCAATATCCTCCATGAAAGAATCGTTTTGTTTTCTAAATTTGAATCGATGGAAAGTGTGGAAGGGATTCAGAAAATGAGTGTGCAATAAGCATTAGGATCAGGAAGACCTGTTCAGCTTTATAACTATTGAAAAATGATTTGGCCTGGGGTATTGGCATGAATGTGCCTATAGGATCTTTCAGCATCACAATGACAAAAGCAATGTCATGGAATATTGATGCAATTTCTACCCTATTGAGACATGTGGGATGTGATGCATCCAGGAAAGAGGTGGGGCTTCTGTTGCCATTCTGTGAAGTTGGTTTCATCAATCTGATCTTCTTGCAACACTTACCCACACCCACTATATGCCAGTGTTCTGGCATTTAGCTGGTAGAAATACTTTTAAAGCTTTATTAAACCTTAACTTTAATTTGAATAAGACATTTAATTGTGAAAAAAACCCCAGCAACTGAGATATGAATGCCAATAAGCTACTTAGGGCTATAAAAAGTCATCTTAAATGATGTCTAGCAGGCAATTGGTAGCCAAGATATTTCAGTGCACGAACGATGGGATCCTTGAACTTTTCATAGGTCAGCAATCTGGCTGATCCACTGTGCATCAACTGAATTTTTAAGAGCTCTTTTTAAGTCTGACTGGCTAAAGTACCATTTGCAATTGGTGCACTAGCTGTAATTGTGTGAATATGCTCTTCAACTCAGCTGACCCTTGCAAATCCAGTGACAACCAGGAGGAGGTTCAAGGAGCATTTTTACTGAAGGATTGAAGTTTCCTGAAGACGATTCACCTCAGATTGAGACCCCCAGTCTTTTGCTTACCAACAATTTAATTTCATCTTGTTCTCCAACTTTTCAGCCTATTGAAATTAGGCAATGTTTAAGATGCTAATTGTCTCCTTGTATCTGAAAGAGAGAAAGCAATAGAGCTAGGACTTGCTAGCATATCTGAGGGCACTGTGAAGATCTGAGTGACCTCCCCAATAGTTTCATATATATGTTAAACAAG